GTTGGGCTCAATTCAAGGTATACAAAGGGAGTAGTTAGCTCTGTTCAGTGGATGTTCTTTCTTGGATTCATTGCCATTAATAGAAGAGTGATCATCCATCTCCGTCCTTTTTCTATCTTAACAGAATCTCTACATTTTAAAATGGAACCACAAGGGAATTAAGTCAGTTGCTTGACACGAAACTTACTGCAAAAAGTTCTGTGAGATTGCAATTCACAGGCGTTCAGGCAGCAATACGCTCATTCTCGACGGAATAATGAGTAATAAAATTTCACTTTATTCACAAGCGTCTCCATCTCGGAAACTAAAAAAACTGTGATTACTTTAGCAGTTACAAGTGGAACGAAATGTTTCATCGAAAATACTTGAATTGGTCTTTCAGCGGAGACAGTACAGCATCAATGAAGATTCGTAACGCAAAAGCTATACAGCAAGCAAATGGATTGGAAGGGCGTACCAAGAAGAGAAGACATTTTAATCCGCTCAAGATACCAAAAAACTTGAAGTTAAAAAAAAAATAATTTTCCAACATTGCATGAGCACCTGCACTTCAGCATAAAAAATCAAACCACCACCATCCTGACTAAAAATTTTTCACTATATATAATTTCCTGCATAGTTGTTGGTATCAACTTAATTGATTTAAAGACAAAAAGAACTAAACTTTAAACCCTAAACTGTGATCTCAGGGCATGGACATATGAAAGATGCTAGAACGACTACTCACATGTTTGCAGAGGGTAAAGCATCGAGGTAGGCCTGCTCGAACTGGAGAGGACGTTTAGGTCGAGAGCGTAGGGCTGGCCCCGGTCCGATAAGGGCGTCTTCCTCACCATCCGGAATCGCCGAATTGCCGTCACCGCCATTCTGACTCTCTTCCATTTCGGCACCGTGGTTTAGCAATACAGATCGGTTCCAGAAGAATGCAAGATGGTATTAGGAATTGTATCTCAGTCCACTGAAAGATAAAAAGTTCAGAGGGCAAAACTATAACAGAGGAAGGAAGCAGAAGCTGCTTCTTGCTCCTGGGCAAAACTATACCTTTGCAATAATTCTTCACTGTACCCTTGGGGGTAAATTTATGTCTAAGATAAATAGTGTATTAGTTCAGCTGGAAGAAGATTAATTAACTATAATTAAAATATTTTCTGAAAAATTATATAAATTATATTTTAAAAAGTTACAAATATCTTATATTTTTTTAATATAATACTTTACAAAATATTTTATAATACTTTACAAAATATTTTATAATATTTTTTATATTTTAATATTTTATAATACTAGACTAAACGTCTTTATATAAACTACTTCGAGAGGATACAAATGGAAATTATTTTATTATTATTTTTTTTGCCAATAAACATAGAGGTCATTATTATAAATGTATATTAATTAAATTTTTTTAATATCATATCCACTTAAATTTAAAATTATTAATTATGAGTGATAATGACATGTAAAATTGAAAATTTTGTTTATTTAAATATAGATAAAATCAATTGTTTTTATTTTTAAATAAAGTTGTATGGTACTATCATTACTAACAATAGTTTATGGCTGATTCAACCCTTCCACCAATTTTTTTTACCAACAATTCCTCCACCAGTTTAATCAAACACCAACTCAATTATATTTATTACCTATTTGATTAAAAAATTAAAGAGAATGTAATGTTATGTTAAGAAATGAAATGAAATGTAATAAAAATTATATGTATTTATTTAATATGTTATAAAAAATAGTTGTAATGGAGATTACATAAATTTATTAATGTAATTTTTTTACAATATATAATATAATTTTTGTTAGCTAATTTAATTTTCTTTACTTTATTTAATATTAATCAAATAGCTGAAATCTTGTAATGTATTGGAATTGCCAATAATTCCTTTATATTGCATCGAAACAATGTGTATATATTTTTAATATTAAAGTACTATGCAAGATCCATCTAATTTGTTCGGTAAAACGGAACATGACAAATGACAAGCCTCTTCTGTGCGTGGTTCACCTTATTAAAAATTCTGGAATTTAGGAAGCATTTGAAAGATGGGGTTCCTGTCTCACTCTCACTGAAGGCAAAGGCACAGTCCACACTTGCGGGAGAAATGAGGGCGTTGTACAATTCCGGAGGCAACCTCAGTAATTTACGATTTTGCCATTGCCCTCAATTCCCCTCCTCGAACGCACCATTTGTTATTCTTCCATCACGAATTCCATGCCTTTCTCTCAGAAACCCCACTACTGCACTTTCCTGCAACCATAATCTCTTTTCTCCTTCGGGGTCGTCGTCGATTCAACCACTGATGGCTTCTCCTACCTCATCCATTGACACTGACCAGGATACAAAGCCACTCTCGGTGCTTTTTGTTTGCCTCGGCAACATCTGTCGGAGCCCAGCCGCTGAAGGGGTCTTCAGACACTTGGTCAAGCAAAGGGCTTTGGATTCCAACTTCAAAATTGATTCTGCAGGCACCATTAATTACCATGAGGTGGGTTATCCCTAGTTACATCTCATACTATGATCATCGGATAGATCTGTAGTATTGTGTGTTCTTGTTTGTGCTTGAATTATCTCCGCTTCATATGGCTGCCATTGTGACAAGTGACGATTCAAGAATCTCTGAATAATACTGGCTCATTGTTGTTGAATGTAAATGAAGTAGACCACTGGGTGAAAGAAGAAAGCAATTGATTTATTGTATTGGTAGATTTATTTATATATTTACTCGTGACCGGAGAAAATTCAAGAAGACCAATGAAATCTTCTTCCATACTAGATAACTTTCTACGAAGTCGATTCAACTAATTTGACTTGTGAATAATGTCATGATTTGATATGTTTAACTTGTATTGACTTACGCTTTTTCTATAACTCATGTAATGTTGCACGGGTAGCAGGCTAACTATTGGATTATTGAATTCTATTTTAATGGTCATTATTGATGAAGGGAAATGAAGCAGACCCAAGGATGAGAGCAGCCTCAAAAAGGCGAGGTATTGAGATAACCTCTATTTCCAGGCCAATCCAGCCATCTGATTTCCGAGATTTTGATCTTATCCTTGCTATGGACAAGCGAAACAAAGGTGAGCTTGAATCAGATCTCTGGACAGAACTGGTTGTCTTGAACAATCTCTTGCATGAGTTCTTACAGGGTGGTGTAATGGCTTTTGTTTCTTGTTTGCTGTAGAGGACATATTAGAGGCATTCAATATATGGAAGTCTAGAGATAGTTTACCGGCTGATGCATATAAGAAGGTCAGCGTAAGGGTTTTATTAAGATTGGGTTTCTAACTTTTTTTAGCTTGTTTAATGTGAGTATCGGTGATGCAGGTTAAATTGATGTGCTCGTATTGTAAAAAACATGATGAAACTGAAGTCCCTGATCCTTACTATGGCGGGCCACAAGGGTTTGAGAAGGTAATGATTTAGTTACTGGTTGGTTCTTTTTGTTGGTTAAGGCAGATCATCATCTGTTGGGATGGGCAAGGGCAATACGAGCATGATTGGAATAATTTGTGGGGACTGAAATCCAAGCATTACATTGATGTGTATGAAAACATAGTTGAAAAAAAAAAAAAAGTTACGCTTCCAGAGAAATTTTGCTTGGTAATTGCCCTTAAACATTTTGGCAGAGTATGAAGAACCGTATCCTGTAGTATTTGCCTACTTGGCGCCAAAGGTGTTAGGATGCTTTGTTTTGTTTTGCTTTTGCATTTGATATATTAACATGAAGGAGGGCTGTGCAAGGATGGATATGAAAACCCAATAGTAAGCAGCTAATGATTTTCATCAACTTTTTTCCGAAAAAATCAATACTTACAATCAACACTAAGCATATTATAATGATAGCTTGTCGAAAACTTGATGATATCATAGCTAGTTGATATTGCGTCCCTGTGTTGTTTTATCAATCGTAAATCCTGATAAGCAGTCATTCAGGCAGCACTATATCGTAGAGATTTTTATTTATTTATTTATTTTTTAACTTTTTAATAACTTTTAGCTTACGCTCTGCATTATATGCTATCATTTGTGTGGCAGGTGTTGGATTTGCTTGAAGATGCTTGTGAATCATTGTTGGACGACATTTTGGCAGAGCATAAACATTTAAAAGAATGATAGGACTCGGCTGTTGTTCCCTTCGGAAAAGTAGAATGGGGACTGGCATCCATAGGTATTTGCTTGAGGCCTTTACCTCCATCGGTCTTCTGTCTGTACTTCTGCTGGCGTGTGCGTTTGTTGCATCACTTCTTTCAACCACCAGAATGTGTTTTCAGAATCAGATTAAGATGTCACAAATATCCATTCTTGATCAGTTTTTCTCGAGCTATATCCTTGACGTTGCGAATTGTGAGCAAATTCAATGTACTAATCGTATGTTATCAGTGAAAGTTGAAACACATATGTTGAAGTGATTGTTGCCTCCATCTTCATATTATGTAATTCATTTCTCTCAATTTATTTTTTAGGATTTTCTTTTGAGTTGGGAACTGAAATTATCCATATAACATGTTAAAGGATAAATTTATTCTGTAAGTTTTTGCCAGGTACAAATAATGTTCTTAATTTTCCTTTGGCATAATGGTTTCTTGGAAGCTTAAATAAATGACACAATAGCACCATATAGTAATATTTGACAATTATTTGAACAATTCTAATTAGAGTTAAATAGTAATTTTGTCAAGAAAGTTTCTTTTAAAAAATGTTTAGTGTCAAAATTTTGATTGACCTAAAAAAATAAAATAAAATAAAATATGTGATATCTATTATGTCTTTATAATTATCATTTAATAATAATACTTATTAGTCTTTTATTCGAATTACATGAAACATTTTTATCTTAAACAAATTATCTCCCTTTTTCTTTCATCTGATTCCATTTTATGTTGAAAATAGCCTCTTCTCTTTTATATATATATATATATATATAAAACCTATATTTGACAGAGTTTTACATTAATTGATGAGAAGCTAACACAATTCTCCTCCTTCATCCGGATTTGAAATTGACTACAATACCAGCAAAGTTACATACATACATACATACTATAAAAAATGACGGTGGCACTTCTTAAAAACGAAAGATACAATATGCAGAACTTGCATATATTGACAGGTCTATTCATTACTTGGGTGCATCTAACAATCTATTACGGCTTAAAATTCACAAAATTAATGTTCAAAAAGAATAGAGCCACATCCAAAAACATCATACATACACAAAGGTGAACCCTAAAAGGAATGGGTGAGAAAGACGCTCTAACTTGTCTGCCTGCGTCTCATAATCATAGCTGAACCATCAAAAGCCAATAAGCTATGGAAGATTCGAGAGGAAGACTACCTCATGAGATCAACTCAGACTATAAAGCTCTGTTTCTTCCTGCCCCGTTCCCTCTTCTTTGGGTTGGCACTTAGCATAGCATTTATAAGCTCTGGATCCTCTTCGTTAATAAGGATTTTTGCAGCATTCGGATTGGCTAGCAAGAGCTTTGCCACAAGGTATCCTGCGATAGACCATGTTTGAAAAAGTCGTGCCTGTTTTCCAATAAGCCTTGCTTGCTTTGTATCATAGTACTCAGGCCACTTGTCTTTTGATAACCTGCTCTCAGCTACCTGGACAGCCTTTAAAGCAATCTCTGGTCTTTTCATCTTAATGCATGCAACGGCAAGCTGCAATATAACCACAGTCATTTAATCCACAGAATATGTCCATTTCCATGATCCAACCATTATTTTGGCGTCCTGTAGGCTAATATCAACCAGAAACTATAACTTCAATTTCCAATCTATTTTAAGAGCACTGACCTCCAGTGACCAAAAACCCTTCTCGAGTGTCGCCTGATCTTTTTGTAAACGAAAAGACAAGATATATTTGCCAGGATAGCCTTATTTCAAATAATTTGATCCCTTAACTTCTAGATCTTTGATTGTGGGGGCAAAAATTTGGTAGCAAGTGCTAGTGATACACTGTATCCATCAGGAGGTCTATCACCACCAATATTTGACAGGGACAACCTGACTTATAGTGAAGGCTATCCCACACTCGAATTAATACCTGTCCAAGCTGCAGCCCTTGAAACTCTGAAGCATCACTGATGAATTTTAATTTGCTTTGGTTTGGTTCTATTTAAAACTAAAGAATCGGATCGTGCTATAGTATCCATCACTTAGATGTTAACTAAAGAAAGAAATGGTTAAAAATGCTAAGTGTAATTTGAGGGATGGTAGATGATTCTGCAACTAACTAGCGATAACAACCTCTCTTGACCCAAATTTATATGGGAAGCATGGTAGATGTCCCATCTTTTAGGGTTAAGGTTTAGATGTGTGAATGAAAAATTAATAAAGAATAAAATAGCAACGTAGTTTACAGGGAAAATTTTAACAGAACACCAAAAATTTCAAGGGCATGAGCATTCATCTCCCTGGTAAGTCTCAAATCACAAGTTCAGTAAGAATCAACATCATGGCAGAAGAGAAATTATATTTTACACTTCCAATGATGTGTGAAGTTGACTTACTGAAGATTTATTTTCTGTCTTTTTGTACCTTTAATCAACCCTCACTTTGTTGTAACGAGGTGGTGGTTGATGATAGGATTAGGCATACAGTTAAAAGTTGCATGTAATATTTTGTGATTATTGTACAGTTTTTCAATAAAAAAGATTATTTTACTGCTTTGAGTCTAAGAATTGAACCCAATAGAAACCATAAAATATCAATAATAAACACTAACCTGCCAGAGCAAAGTTGGCCAAGAGCCTGCATTGTGGTAGGACCAAGGACTGCATACGAAAATAAGAGGTCAGAATAGCTGCAGAAAATAAGAAGAAAATAATGCAGGATTTTTGTGAAGACATTACGTGTTTTTGGGGTCGCTGCCTGTTATAATACGCCATTCCTGGTCTTCAAGAGCAGGGTAGCATATCTTGAAAGGCATGCCAGCCACTAACTCTGACCATTTTGCTTCAATTAGGTCTAAGATGGCATGTGATTGATCTGCAGTGGCCAGACTACTTACAATAGACCATAGGTTTCCAAGAGAAAAAAAACGGAAGTCCATGTGAGCAGGTTGCAGGTTTCCAATCAAATAACCTCCTTTAGCTGGCATGAATTCCACCAACCACGAGGGAATTTGATCAGGATAGATGTTAAATTTATTAACGGCATCATATGAATACTCCTCAGTCTTGTATCTGTAGATCTCGTTGAGTTTTCTCATATCAACCCAGTAATATTCCCTTATGTGGAATGATAATGAAACAAGCCGACTGTTCAGTGCTCTAATAAGATCAGCTGATCCATCTTCAGGAGCAAGCATCTCTCGCGCACATAGTAATGCTGAGTAAAACAACGCCTGCAGGACATTAAAAATTGATCACAGAAAATATATATTAACTTCATGCAACAAGCAGATGGCCTTAAAGGAGTACTCAAGTACTTATTTGGCTAAATTTGATATCAGCCAAAAAAAACTGCTGAAATTGTCTATGTCTTTATATGAGGGGGGGACTTTTTAGAAGCAGAAGCTAAGTAATGAATCCAACAATATAGAAAGGAGCTACTAACTTGAATCTCCAGAGGGTGACCGTGAATTCCCATACGACGATCTATCATACAGGAACCATCTGTCACCAGCAAAGTTGGAAACATATCAAAACCATCTGCAAGACACAGCTTTAGAATCATTTTGATTCCAGTTTGCACATCAACTCTCTCTTGCACAGACAAATCTCCAGAACATTTTCCATATGCTCGCAACAATATAATCCACCAAAGTCCTGGCAGTAGAGTTAGACACTGTTACTAGTGAAGAAAAGTTAAAAATTGAATAAATAATATAAATAATATCATGGTGCTACTTGCTAACCGGAATCAACTGGTGCCACACGACCAATGGCAGCTTCACCAAAATCAGGATCTAGGACATCCTCAGTTGCAGAATCATCTCCATCAAGGGGAATAGTCCGCACTTTAAAACTTGCAGGCATCAATCCTTGACCAGGACTATGACAATCCATGGTTTTCTCCCAACTCTGCCCAAAACTCACAATCAGCTTAACAAGCAAATTTAGCACTCAAATGAATTATAGCACCATCAATAAAGGGTTTATGACATTACCTGCAACTGAAGCGTATGAAGAATGAAATTCCGTACAATATCATACTCTCCTTTCAAGAGAAATGCTACCCCAGAAGGTATGAAGTCACGGATAAAGACCTGATCATAGTTTAGGATACAACTACTGCTTGGATCATTTGCAGCAATAGTTCCAATAGGGTTATTGCAATAATAAACAATAGAGTCCCTCAGTAAATTCCATGCTTCATCCTCAATTGAATTCTCAATGACCTCATGCAATGTTTCTTTTGCAAGTCCACCCGCAGTTGACTTTCTGTTGGCTATTAAACTTCCATTTGTGGGTTCTACCGGCTCATCAATCTTAAGAGCTTCTCCTTGTGACTTACCACCCGTGAAATTCCCGCTAAGAAACCCTGATGGTCGTTTTTCCGTGGCCCAGGACCATGCACTGTCTTGATCCTCAGTTGCTGAGCTGCCAACACTGTCTACCCGTTGACAATTGCAAACAACGGATTCTAATCGCCCACGATCAATCATCCCGTGAAATTCACCATCTACAACCTGCAATGTACTTGTCTTCTTCGAAGTCAGGCATATTCTTGAACTACTTTTCCCGAGCACATACCCGGAAATTTTTTTTCTTCTGTTATATACATTGGATTTGTTGGACCTGGGCGTTACAAACTCAAGATCATAGGAACATGTCTCAAACTGGAAAAAACGAGGAGAAGTCCCAGATACAATTTGCCGCACAGGTACTGATGCCGCCATCTATTGAACTAAAATTATTCGACGACTCAAAACTGCCTCCAGGGTATGAAATTTAGGTATTTAGTTGTAGCACCTATGCAAAACAGAAAACACTAAGCTCAAAACTTATCCGTGAACCGTGATGCCAGCTTCCTAGCGACACAAAGAATGAAATGAACGGAGACAAAACAAAGGAAGAATAGAAAGATTCTAATTCCGTTCAACACAAATTTTCGTTGCGCCTGAAACAACAATTTGGTTAACTGGGAAAGTGTTCGGACAGAATCTAATTATTCAACATTTCGTTGCAAATGAGAAAAGAGAGAGAGATCCAACGATGAAATCGTACCTGGGATAATAGGAATCACCAAGAAGGTAATCGCGCAGGCAGGGAAATCCAAAAGATCTAATGTGATAAGTAACCCCCCCCCCCCCCAAAAAAAAAAAAAGATCTAATGATAAACCAATAATTGCCAGTCATGTGGAACCCTTCTCTCCGTTGCCTCTCCATTCCGCCAAAACGCACCGTTTTGCTGATGAAACAAACCCTAGGGCAGGGCCATGCCATTTTCCAATCAATATGCTGCAAATTTATTTCCGCTTCTCGTTCTTCTTCCTCCAGGCTCCAGCAGCGCCGTTAGCCTGTCCTCTCTTGCGAGAGTCGCTTCTCTCCGAGGGTTGAAATGGGTCTAGGACGAGCAACGCGAGCCACTTGAACATTAACCATGTTACTCTGTCTCTAAGCAACACCAATCATTAACCAAGTTACAGTATTTCACCACCTCAACAGTAGCTTCAGCAGGGGGCTTGAGAAGAAACCACATTCTCATTGCGGCAAAATTCAACTTATCGGTTACTATATTAAACACATGCTTCTCTGGTTCCTTTGCTTTATGGACAGTACAATTAACAACCACTGATGTATCCAGCACATTATCAGAAAGGATAGCATAGTGGTAAAGAGATGGATCTTCAATCTTCTCTTTGTCAAAATTTCCTTTTTTATGATAACCAAGCAGGAAATAATCTGCTGCAGGTTGCAACGGAAGGCAAGGCAATGGTCTAGGCACAGTTATGGCAGCTAGCTGAATGAAGAATGCACTTCTTTTCTTTTGCAAATTAACACTCTCTTCAGTTGACTGAAGCATTACCCTCAAGTTCCTTGCCACTAAAAGACAGTCATGGAGTTAGTCCTTTGCCATTGATAGAACAAGACCCAAAGCTTTGGCTTGATCAAGTGCACTTGGAAAAATAAATAGAAACTTTGAATTAAAATAAAAACAATCTAATATGCCCACAAAACTATATAAAAAAAAAAAAAGGACTAAATCAAATACCTAGAGTGAAGCTCTGCATCAGAAGTTCAGAACTTCCTTCTCCAATAGCAAGCTGACTTTCTCTTGTGTTTATGAGAGCATTGTAAAGAATAGTTTTGTTTTTAGCCATTGCAATGTTAGTATATCCTTTGGCCATTATTCTTTGATCTGGCATCAGTTTCAGAGTTGAATCTGAATTTGGATTTTCATATTCTCTTCTCCACATAATGAACATGTCCTTCACGGTGGTGACAAAGCCTTCAGCACGTTCAATTGCTTCTGCTACAATTTTGCTGTCAGTTTCTTCAGAAAAATTCTCAATTTTTATAAAATCAAAAGTCTTCTAATTTTGTAAAAGTTTAGAAAGCTCGTGATTAAATTAACTCTTTTAATTTCTTTAATTTTGATTATTTTTTCTTTCTCTTTTGATGTTTGAATTATTTTTGACAAAATTATTCTCTTCTCTTTTTTCTGATTGTTCTTTTGCCTTTTCTTTTGTCACACTTTTTATTCATGACTTGCTCTTTTTGTCTTAGCTCTTTTTTCTTATTTTTCTTTTGCCTTTTCTTTTATCACATCTTTCACTCATGACTTGCTTTCTTTTCTTCTTCTCATTTTTCTCTTCGCGACAACCAATTAATAATCTTTAAAATCTGTGTTGAATATGTTCATCTTTAATTTTTGAATAGAGAATCCTTCATCTGAAGCTCCCTATGATGCTTAGGTAGCTACCTCCTAGATAAGGGAAGCCCCTTCTTCTTTATGTTTTACTATTACCATTTAACTCTTAATCTTTTAATAGATATAATTAATTGTATGACATTGTGGCCTTTCATTTACCACAACAAAGCATCAGCTCATTATTTGGCACTTTCATGTGATAGAAGAAATAAAATGGCTTTTCATTTTCTTTAAAAATTAATTTTTTCTTTAAAACATTTATATTCCTTTGCCACTAAAGGAAATATTTTTTTTTTGGTCCAAAAATGTAGAATCACTCAAGGAATTATTTTAAAAATTATTTGGACAATCCCTGACAAACTAAAAAAATCAAGAATGTTCATAATTTTTATAATATAAAATGATATATTATGCTTCTTTATAATTATAATAATTATAAACTTGATCATAGTAGTTTATTGGAAAAAATTTTTGCTGTAAAAAGCGAGTAACCCCAAGTGGTCAGAGTTAACATCTTATGGATTTTTATCTAGCTGTAAAGACTTCCACCTTTCTCTTGATAAGTAATGGTGGTAGACTTTGATGGTGCCAAAATTAACTTATAGTACTTTCTATCATTTTTTATGTTTATCAGAATATAATTCCATGTTTACTCTTCTTCGTAAAGGGGAAATATTGCTTATATTGTATGAGAACTACACTCTCTTTAAAATTCTGGCTTGACGGTGTAAATAGTTATTAAATATTATTTTGGAATGTATTGGCTTTTCTATTCAGGTCGTAGCTTCCTGGTATGTCTTTGGTTTTAAGATTTTGTCTCTTTAAGGAATATGTCTTATGTTTTCAATGGTATATTGGCTTTTGGTTTTTATGGAGTGGCTGGCTGTATGGTTATGTCTTTATCTTTTGTGGATTTACTTATTGTGAAAATATTTTTTTTATAAAAATTCTCTTATTAAAAAATTTAAAAGAGAATCATTTTTTCTATTATAAATTGTATTTTGAAATAAAAATAGGATAAAATTGTTTGTCATCTAGCAAAAATCTGTTTTGCATCCAAGTTTTTAACATCTTTTATAAAACATCTTTTACTTCTTTATAATATACTTTTATAAAAAACTTTAGGAAAATAACAATAAAGTCTCTTCAAAATGTATAAATGATAATTTAGTCCTTCAAAATATTATAATTTTTCTAAAGTTTTTAGGAAATTTTATGTCATTAATGAATTTATATAAATTATCAAATTGCTTTTATTAAAAATAAATGATTCATAACTTTCTTTCTTATATTCGCAACAATGCAATAATAAATCATAACTTTACATATTAAATTCCTCATTTATTTTTTCATTGTTGTGAATATAAGAAAAAAAGTTATAAATTATTTATTTTCAATAAGGGCAGCCTGGTAATTTAAATAAATTCATTAATGATAGAAAAGTCTGTAGAAACTTCAGAGAAATTATAACATTTCGAAAGATTCAATTATCATTTATATATTTTTGATGGATTTTATTGTCATTTGCCTAAAAAATTTTGATTCATCAAATCGTCTTGAAATTTTGAAACACACAAAATGATAGATAAAACTTCTTTTTAAATGGTGGAATTTAACTATCTTTTTTTTTGTGTTATCTCCATTTAATTATTTTAGGATTCCTCTATATTCTATTTCTGATGCATCTATCTCCACTATCTTAAAAGATGTCAGATTTGCTATCCCTAAATAAGATAGACTTTTGACTTGTTGTTTTGCTTGTTTTACTATTTATGTCATTTTATTTGTCTATTCTAAAAGGTTTTTCTACAAATTCTACCACTCTACTAACTAGCGTTATCCTTTCTTAATATGTTTTTATCCCTGCAAATTTTTCTCTAGTCTAGAGCAATTTCATTTCCTTAGTTGAGACTGCTAGATCGTTAGCTTTTATTATTTCATAAAAATAATTAAGATGTTTAAAATATTCTTCAATTGAATTGGAAAACACTAAACATAATCAATATAAACTATTATGGATTAAATATGTGATTCATTACCTGTTGAAATTGTGAGGGTGCATATTTTATAAAAAGCATTAATCCAAAAACATTATATTCTATTCCCAAAGTCCAAAAGGAATTGTAAAAGCTATTATATATATATATATATATGTATGTATGTATGTATATCTTTCTACTGTTTATATCAAGTAATATCTTGATTACATATCAAATTTTAAAAATATTGAGGCATTAGTTAATCTCTATATTAAATTCTTTTTATTAGGAATAGGATATCTAATATATCTTAAAATTTTGTTTGATGGCTTATAATTTATAACTAATTTTAGAACACCTCTTTTTATTTTTGCACTGTTTTGGACATAAAAAGCTAAACAACTCCATAAAGATTTACTCGACTTTACTAATTTCTTTTCAAATAATTGTTTAATTTTTGTTTTACAATATTCTAACAATTTTTGATTCATTTGTATAGGTCTAGCTTTTATTAGTATTTTTTTTCATTAAAAAAATTTTATAAGGTGATTCTACTATGTATCTTTTTCTATTCCAAAAAGCATTTGGGTGTTATGTACAAACATCTCCTTCAATTTTTTTTTTTACTCCCTTTATTAAAAAATATAAAGTATTTTTTAAGAAATTAAATGTTCAAAAATATAAGGCAGTTTTAACATTTTGAGGTGTAATTATTACCTTTTTCAAAAGTATTCCTATTGATAATAACTTTATATTTATTGTAGAGTATTTAATAGTGATAAATATAAAAAATAGGGTTAGTTTGAAAGTAGGTAACTATTTTATTGGGAATGAGATTCAATTAAAATGTCTTACATTTTTTAACAAATAGAGTATGTCATTTATTTTATTTTTTACTTTTAAATTTTTTATTTGTTCTTCAATTCTTTTATAGTGTATTTCTTTACTAAGAAAGTTTACTTGTTTCTGTTTTTTATTTATAGTATTTTTTCTAAATATATAATCTTGTTTTAACATTCTTATTTTCTAATTATTTGAAGTTTTACTCATTCAAAAATTATCTTTTTCCCTACTATCTTTATGATTATTCCTCTGTAATCCACTTTAAATTGGGACACTTGTTTTAAAAAAGGTGTGCAGGTTTGCTTAGAGTTTTGGTTAATATGAAAATATTTTTAAAAGATATCCCTTGATTACATATATGGGTGTTTGTCAATTTATATTGTATATCTAATTTAAAATAATTGTTAGTTGTTCCTATTCTTTCAAAAGTTTTTTCATAATATTTGATTGGAATTAATACTTCTTGTATACAATTCATATTTGCCCAGAATCTATTAGAGCTATTATATTTCTTGATAATTCTCTATTTATTATCAAACTAACTTGACAATATCATTTTTTATAAATTATTTGTGATACTGTATTCAAGTATCTTTATTGATCTATTTCAAACAAGATGTTATCTATTTCATTTTATGTTTCTTTTTTTATATTTTATTCTGTTTTTATTTTACTAGTTTTTAATTAGGCTTTTATTTGTAATAATTTTAATTCTCCTTGAATTTCATTTTCTTTTAATTCTTTTTTCTACTGTTTTAGTTGTTTTAACTCTTTTATTTCTTTTTTTTTATTTTATCTCCTACTGTAATTCTTTTGTTCCTACTGGAGTAACATTTTCTATTGAAAAATCTTTTTCTAGGACATTTATTATATTTTTTTTTAGATTTAACATTTCTCATTTTTTATGTATTTTTGTTTGCTTTATTTTTATCTCTTATATTTTATTTTCCCAAGTTAATTGTTTTTACTTGTTCTGCAAACGTAGCTTCCTATTTAAATATTGACTTCATGGGATCTATTTTCCTATTAAAGAGGCTTTATTTACTTATTTATTTTCTAATTTATTTTCTATTCTATCTAATTATTGTATGTAAAGATATGTTTGTATAGTTAATTTGCTATACAATTTTTTGTGATTCTTTATTTTCTTGAGGATTTATTATCTTTAAAGGTGATGCTATTATTCCATTTTCTCCTATATTAGTTGTTATTTCTTCCAATGACGGGTGTGTTGCTGTAACATATATATTATTTCTACGCATTCAGTTTCTAGTCCTGGCTGTGATAACATTTATCGAAGGGTGATTATTTTCTGTAAAAAGATTAAATATTTCATTATTATAAGTATATATTTCTAAATTTTTTTCTCTTTCTTATATTTCTAAATTTTTTTCTCTTTCTTCTTTTGGAAAGTATTTAAAAAATTAATTTCTTTTATCTCTATTTTTTTTCGTAACATAAATTCTTTTCTTAATATTTCTTTGTTTAATTCAAAATCTTCTCTTTTTATAGCCATTAAAGAATTTCTTATAGATTGATAATCTGTAGATGGTTGAAATTTTCTAATTATTTCTGATTGTGTCTCTAATTTTATATTTTTTTTTCAGAATTTTCATCTTTAATTCTGGATGGTTCTGATTGATATATTGGTTGTGGAATTTTGGGATTAAAACCTAATCCCATTAATTTATATCTTATACTATAATTGTTTGTAGATTGTCATGGAATTACTATAGCTATTTGATCTCTTATTCTGCAGGAGGTTGACCTACTTAGTATTCCATAGGTCATGTCTCCTTCAAAAGTTTTTATTATTTCTTTCAATTTTTCTCACTCCAGTGAGGTTGGTTTTGCTAGTTTTAGAAAGGTCTAACTAGTGGGTAATTAAATTTTAATATGTCTAATTTTTTTTTTTTGTATTATGACTGAAGTTTTGGAGTGATCTCTTATTTCTATTAGCATTGATTCTCCTTTAAGAGTTTCTTTTATGGCTTTAAAGTTTTGATGTGTTTTCTGAATTTTAAACATAATCTTGTATTGTGAAATCATATATGTGACTCCTTTTTAACAAGGGTCTTGGCTACCTATTTCTATAACTAAGACTTCTCTACAATTTTTGTCTTTTAATCCTGTAATATAATTTGAGAAACAATCAAAATAAATTGGTCATTCAAATAAATTTGATTGTATTATTCCTACTGGAGATTTTTGAAAATCTTTTTTCTTTTACCTCTTTAGCATATAAATATGGGTTCATCTAAATCTAACCTAAAATTAAGCTTTACTATAAATTGTATTCTTCCTATAAGTATCCAATTATATTTTTATTTATATTTAATTACTATTTCTTTTGAGATTATATAAATAGATTGTTTTTCTTTCTTTATTCCTATTTCTATAGTTTGAGTTACATAAGAAAAATCAAAAGATGTTTTCTTACAAACTTATACTTCCTTAAAAGTTGGCATTGATCAATTTGTTAATATGTTTTATAAATTGACTGTTGTTACTTTTGTTTCTTCAGAAATTTGACTATCTCTAATTTCTTCTTTAAGTGCACTATTCATATTTGATTGTAAGCTAAGACTTTTTAAACTCATTTTATTTCCCTTTCTGGATTGATTTAGATCTTAGAATCTTACTAAACTAGCTCATTTATCTATTTCTATATGTTTTATTTTCTATTATTCTTTTTCTTCCTAAGCTTAACGGAAACACCACTACTCAATCTAATGGATTTATATATTGTTGAGTTCGGACTCATAGACTTACCAACGTTTTCACTAGAAAAAATTTAAATATTATAAAATAAAAATAGTTTAAACAGATCAATCAGTAAATGCAAAATCAATGAGGCTTTGATACCAAAACAAGAAGCAAATCGAATCAGAGTATATAAAAGTTAAAACAAATAATAAATATGAACATATGACTTTTATATATATTAAACAAGGTGTAGGTATAGAGCACTTACAATGATGGCTAGGAAAGAGTGAAAGCTGAAGAGGAAAGGGGAATATTATAAGTGGAGAGATTTACAATGAGGGAGAGAGATAGTCAAAAAAATTCAATATCTGTAAAGCCAATAGTCTTCTTATTTTATAGAAGGTCGAAAAGATCATGGTTGAGTTTTCTCTTTTGGTTAACCTTGATTATTTTTTCTCTTTCTTTGAATGATTGAATTTTTTTTGACAAGATTCCATTCTTGTCTCTGCTTTTTATTTTTCTTCAACTCGTGTTTACTTTTTCTTTCTCTTTCTTGTTTTTGTCACGTATTTCTCTCCCTCTCTCACACACACAAGTAGGGCTGTGCAAAAGTCTCCCAGTCCTGTCTGGTCCAGTCCAACCCGAGATGGTCTCAGTCTTGTTCGGTCTGTATAGTCACTGGTCCTTCAGGACCAAAAGGACTAAAAAGACCAGACTATTTTTTCGGGTTGGACTGGACAAGAGACCAGGCATCCGGACCACTTGGTCCAGTCCAGTCCTATTAATTTTTTTTATTATAATTATAATTAATTTATTTTGACAAATGTTTAAAGTGTAATTGATGCTAAGGAGATGATTGCATAAAGATTTATTAAGTTTGTTTCTAAATTGTTATTGTAATATAGTGTTGTTGAATTTTTTGAGTACTGTTTTTATTAAAGTTTATAAATTTAAATAATTTAGACTATAACAAAAATATTTTTTTTCTTATTGTTAGAAATTATTATGGATTTATTATTATTATAAGTATTTTTACTATCTTAATTGAGTTTATTATGTTGGAATGGATTATTGCCTCTCATAGAATAAAAAGAGGGAAAAAAAGCTAAGTGAGTACTGGACTGACAGGACCAGTCTCCCAGTCCTATGGACCAAGTCCGGTCCTGTTAATCTTCGGGTTATTACTGGACAAGACTGGACTACGGGTTACCTAACCCAGTCTTTTTCATAAAAGAGACCGGACTTCGGGTTAGGGTGAAGTCCAGTGCTGTCCAGTCCTTTGTGCAGCCCTACACACAAGCATATATGTAAAACAAGCAAATATAAGAGATGAAAACCAGCAAACATGAAAATAGGAAGAAATATTTATTCACCAATCTCCAATTTCAACGAACTCCTTTTTCCTTATCTGAGGATCTCTTCCCACGCGCCACCCTCGAAGGTTTTTTGGAGGCAAAAGTATGAATTTCCCGCCTGCTGGAGGGAGGAGAACAAGAAACCAAACTAAATTTGGAGCTGACGGATCAGATTGCCAGATTTTGTTTTATAAGCAAAACAGCGTAAGGAGGCAGTAGAAGAAAATGTTCGCGGAGAGAATTTCATCAAAACGTGGAGAAAAAAGTTTAAATTCTTGCTAAAAAAACCTATCCATATTTTTAGGTTAAAAAAAAAAAAGCATCTGCATTTGATGCCAACCACATTTAATAAAAAAAAATTACTTGTAAATAATAACAAATGTGAATCGTTTAAAATTTGACAGATAGAGAGTGAAGAATAACATGAAAACAACCCAATTCCATGTCACACCTAGCAAAGATTCATGTACTCAAATCATTTCATTAATCAAATTTCTTGAATGGTGATGTTTGATAACAGTGTCAACTGTCAAGATATTGCGCGGAGGCAGTTACTTCTATCTATCAATGCCCTTCGCCATTAAGAAACAAACACAACTACGGTGATGAATTTCCAGGCAAATTTACAAAGAATACATCTTTCACACAAAAACACCATTGCTTTTGCCCCACCCCTGACCCCTGGTTCAACTGAGTGATTGAATCAAATTACAACTTCCCTTCCCTAAATTAGTCAATCCTCCAAGAGAATACACAAAGCTGGGGTAGACTTCACACATCATCCATGTGATGATCGTTGTCATTGTCACCTTCATAATATTCATCATCACGCTGGATTTGCTTGTCTTGAGTGTGCTCTGAAATGAGAGAATCGTCAATTACGTTTTAAAAAAAAAAAAAAAAAAGTCTACAACCTAAAATGGTTCAGTGCAACGAAAGGAAAAAAGAATGTGAATGTCCAGAAGTGATATGTTAATGCACGAAAATGGGCAATAGAAGCAGAATTTTCTTTACTTACGATCAATGCGCTCATCAGGGTTTTGCTCATCTTCATCGTAATCAGGAATGTAGAAGTCCGGAGGGACCTGTGACCCGCAATGCGTTGGTCAATTTTTGATGGAAAAACTTACAAATTATGCATTCTCATTTATCAACTTACGGGTTAAAGTTGGTTCTTTATCACGATATTAATAATTAATAAATACATTAAATTCAAAATGTGCGTAATCAGACTTCAAGTGCTCGCAATATATTCTCTGCTCTCCCATATCAAATCATTTTCTATTTATAACAAGCTAAATGGCACCTCAAACACCCTGCCATGATCGAAAACGAGTAGTATCAGTATGTTTAGAAAAGCCAAGATATGACCCACAACCATAATAACAGTTTCATTCCATAGAAGTTGCGGGTACTGGGAGCATTTCTAGTTCAGGAACACACTCACCTCCTGCATTTGCACACTAGGAGCATGTTGGATGTAACGGAGATTTTCCAAGACTTGCATTTTGATGGTGCTAAGATATGATTTACTATTTAAATTCTCCTGATCAATTTAAAATAAGAAAAGTGGTAAGAGGCCTGGCATGTATTGTATATTTGTATAGACATTTCATGGCACAGTACAAGGTTCAGACTAAATCATAGTAACGTGTATTTGGTCATATCAAGATTAATTGGAACTGCCAACTCTAACGGATCATGGCCTTTCAATCAAATTATATAATAGAGAAGATCCAGACATAAACTAGAAGTCAACATTACACAAGATAATTGACAAAGTACATACTATGTGCCCATTTGGAATCTTCAAGGAAAATTCTGGAGCAAAATATTTGATGTAATCATTCTCAGGGATCTCTGCAAGACAGATCAAACAGGCATACAATGTTAATCTCTTGAAAACAAGAAGGATCAAACAAAATTTAAGGCCAAATTGCACATTACGCTTCAATTTAGTCATTGCCAATTAACCCAAACAAATTTAAAACATTTGGCAAATAATCCCTTCCATCTACAAACAAACAAATTTATGACTCATAACTAGAACATTTTAGGAAAACTACGAGAAATTTTACCAAACTGTATTTTAGATTCTACTTGACTATTAGGCCATGTTTGGTATGATGGAAGAGTTTTTAATGGAATCGGAATCGGAATCGGAATCGGAATTAGAATTGGAATTGGAATAGAATTGGATTTAAAAGTATGTTTGGTATAATGATGGAATCCTGATATAATTTTAATAAAATATAAGTATTTAAAATAAGAAAAGACTAAAGTGTCCTTTTTAAAATTAAAAAAAATTATATTGGAGGAGAGAGAAGGGGCAAATTGGAGAAAATGAACCATGGAATTGGATTCCATGATTCATATGATGGAATCCAATTCCATCAAATTTCCTTGAATCCTGATTCCAAAGAATCATAATTATTGCATACCAAACACACATGTTAACAGATTCCATGTCCAATTCCATTTCTTTCTCCATGATTCCAAACTACCAAACGGGGCCTTAAATCAATAGATCTTTTCTCATTTTCCCCTCCCTTTTTCATTACATGATAAATGGTGATCGGGAGGATCATTGAACTTGTTGAAAGTTCAAGTGGCTTAATTGCCAACATTGAAATCGCAAGGGACATTTGCGATAGAAGGAAATTTGAAGAGGGTTATCTTAGAACTTTTTTTTAAAGCCTTGGCATTTTATGTCAGCTTTCTTTAAATTGCCAGTTCTATTTATTACAGAAGAGATGCATGCAATAAGAAAAGTTTGCAGTCTTGTAGATTGCATTTTCTGCATAAACCTGCAAACACAAGAAAGCAAATTTAGTGCACGGATACGATTCCATAGGAAACTGTCCATATCCACCTTCCAATTGGTAGGAAGAAGGAAAGGGGAAAACTGACTAGGACCTAGGAGCAGAGGGAGCTTTTTGATAATAAAGTCATTTCACATCAACCATGCTTTAAAGGTCAATGCTAACTAAAGCTGGCTTAATGTACCATTTGGAAGCTCTGTATCTAGAAGAACTCCAGTTTCAACAGTCCAACACCGAGCTACATTCTCTTTTGTGTATCCCCCGCCTCCAGTGACCTGTCATAGAATATTTAAGTAAATCTGATACTTCACAGGCGAATAAAGGCCAAGGATAAGGTTATATAAACCTACCAGCAAGGGCAAATTGAACTTCCTTACAAATTTAACACATTCAGCATGACCTATTAAAAAAAACCAAAAGATAATCTTCAAATAAAGCTGAACCATCACTAATAAAAGTTGGGTAACGATTATGAAAGAGAGGGAACATATTACACACACACACACACACACACTTTAAATCAGTACAAGAGATATACTAGGAGATAAGCACCATCAATGGAAAGATTGAAGCAACCCAGACGGTCTCCAGCAAGTGAATCTGCCCCACATTGGAGAACTATCACACCAGGTTGATATATTTCGACAACCTTAGAAATAATCTACATAAAATTTTAAACAGAAAGGTTCACACTAGGCAGCATCAACCCAAAAGATAACTATGATATTAGGTGGCTCCAGAGTCAAACTTACAGTCTTAAAAAGCCGATTGAAGCTAGGATCATCTATTCCGTCTTTAAGGGGGACATTAATGGCATAAAACTTGCCCTCTTTTTCTCCTATTTCCTTCAATGCAGTAAAATCCGTTTATATCATTCCAATCTATAGAGTAGTAGGAATGATTCAAAGAATGAAGAAAAATTCAACTATATCAATTAATAATAAGATCCAGACAGTACTGACATGTTACACCAGACCACCAAAAGTCTAGAAACAGGAAAGTAAAAGAAATCACCTTGACATCACCAGTTCCTGGAAAGAACATGTCTCCATACTTGTGAAAACTAACAGTCATCACCCTGTCATGGCAAACTTTACCGTTTAAAGCAATTGAGAAGTCCATGAGACGTATGGTATGGCAAAATTATCTTATCAGCATCCATCAGAAAAGAAGTTCCATCTACTGACTTAAAAACATTTCATTTCTGATATGACAAGCATAGCCTACAATTGAAAAGCTGGAACCAAGGTAATATAAAAATTCAATATGATTAAACCATGTTAGAACGATCTATTTGGCACCACAATTTGATTTACAGTAAACTCAGTAAGGAAAACGTTGTTACATACCTACAGTCTACAAATAAGCAAAGTGTATTATGATATTAAAACTTCCCTAGCTATAATTTGTATCACGATACCAAAACAGCAGCTAAGTGGCAAAACTTAGTGACTTCCTAGAACTTCAACTGTTGAATATTTTAGAGGGAAAGGATTCCTGCCTATTTTAAGAGTAAGGGAACTTAGTTGCTTAATGCCGATGTTGTCTTTACAATTAGAACATCAGTGAATACAATCATATTGAAAATTTTATAACTCTCATACAGCTCCAGACTATACAGGAAATTTTTACCTATCAGTGAAGTAGAAGGCTTCTTCTACTCCATCACCATGGTGGACATCTATATCAATATATAAAACACGAGCATGATATTTAAGAAGCTCCAAGATTCCTAAAACCAAGTCATTGATGTAACAAAATCCAGATGCCTCGCATTTCTTGGCATGGTGCAGTCCACCAGCCCAATTTATAGCAATGTCACAGAGTTGATTGTTTAATCGACGTGCAGCATCTGGAGGTGGATATTAGTCAGTATGTATAACAAATTGACAACAAGGCATGACCAAACTGTAAGAGAATCCCATCACAGACAAATTACCTATGGTTCCACCGGCATAGATTTGACAAAATTCAAATAAGTTGTCAAATACAGGGCAGTCTTCTCCAAGATTATCTGGCAGAGATGAAAACAATACAGAGGAACTTTAACAAAGCATGAAATTGAAGTTACACAGCACAAAACTCACTTTTCGTGCATTCCCTGGTGTTCCTTCTCCCTCTCTAAATTATATTTCTCTTTCTGATGTAAAGAAAATGTGCATGGCAAGAAAACTTTCAACGTTTCTTACTTAACAGATAATTAAATTTTTAAAGCATATATCAACAAGAGTCATTCAAAAGAGAAAGATGGGAATACATTTTGCCAATTCATTCGAGAACAGATGCTGAGTGTCAGGTGTAATCCTGTGCAAAAACTCAACATAATCAGCTGAATGAAACTGGGCAAGCTCAACAGGATAAGCCTTGTGTGGACGCTGCATCACGCAAAATAAATTAACAAGAATAAAATTATTGGTGTGATGACGGGCTAAATTGGATAAAGCACAAACATGAGGGGAAAGAAAAAATGTAATGCCAATTAATATGACTAACATAAATTTCCATCTTCTTATGAAGCTCGTATGAGAGGACAAGATGATGGGTCATGCAAAGACGGTGAGGCTTCATTGGATGGTTTGGCCCAAAGTAAACGCTTCCCACGTCACCTGGAATATCAAGTTTCATGCAAGTATTCCAGATCAAAACATACACAGGAACGTGGTATAGTAAGTATGGGCAACAATGCATACACAACTCATCACAGAATGTCAGCACTAGTAATGTTAAATTCATCACTGTATGCAATCAATTTGAGTACTAGTGATATGAAACATACACAACTCTGAAATTCCCCAAGTTTAAAATGCAGAAAAATAAATTTGCCAAGGCAAACTGTATTAGATGTTTATCTGAGTAAACATTTACATATATGCTCTATATAATTCCATATTAACCGTTCTCTTGTTTAATGATAATATTTTTCCAGAAAATAAACCAATACAAGAACCACGATATTAGAATTAGGGTTTCAATAAGCATAAATGAGCTGAACTGGGGCTAGAAAATCATATAATCGAGAGGAACAAGAAGTTGAGCGACTTCGACTCCTACAGATATAATTCAGCGGAAAATTGATTGTTTATTATTTATGGGTGTTATGAGTATAGAACCAACGAAGCAAAGAGAAATACGCACCATCGTAGAAGTAAGAGATCCTGTCCTTGGAGCGCATTGTCACCAAAAGTGTACAAGTTATTGCAGGGATATCGAAGAAGCATACGTCTATGATACCGGCAACGCCATGGCCGGTCACCTCAGAACTGTGCTGCCCCAAGTCCACACCGTTATCGTCTGCTGGTAATTCGCTGATTTCAATTCCGCAGTGCCACAGCGACGACCTTGCAAGTTGCGGGGAAAGAAAGAAGAAAGAAAAGAAAAGAAAAGAAAAGAGATTGGGGAAATGACAGTTAGGGACCCTAATGACAATAAGGACAACAGAGACATTAAATTATTGAAATAAAAGCTCAAAGTCTTTATTTATAATCACATTGATGTAAATACTCAGTTAAAAATACTCCTTCCGTCCTAGACTATAAAACATTTTTAAAAAAATTTTCTATCTCAAAATATAAAATATTTTAAGTAAATTAAAATTTTATTAAGTGTATCAATTTTAATATCATCATTTTTTTCTATAATTAATTTTTATTTTTTTTAATATATCAAATTATAAATATTTTTAAAAATTTATATTTTTATTTTAAAAAGATAAAATTATTAAATATATATTTAAGTAAATTAAAATTTTATTAAGTGTATCAATTTTAATATCATCATTTTTTTTCTATAATTAATTTTTATCTTTTTTTTAATATATCAAATTATGAATATTTTTAAAAATTTATATTTTTATTTTAAAAAGATAAAATTATTAAATATATTTAATGAGATTCATTGATATAAAAAATTTAATCTAAAAGTGTTTTAGAATTTAAAACGAACAAAATATATTAATTATATTTAAGATCATTTGTAATATTAATTAAGAATTTACAAAATTTAGTAGGGTATCATTTTTTACTGTAAATATATAAATAAATCATTTAAAAATTAAGTAAATATATTTAAAATTATTTATAATATTAGTTAGGAATATACAAAAGTAAGTTGTGAATTGTAAGCTAATTATTTATGATTTTTTACTCTCAATATATAGATAAATTATTTAAAAAATTTACTAAATATACTTAAATTTATTTATAATGTTCATTAAGAATTTAAAAAAATCAATGATAAATGCAAACCAATTACTTATTATTTTTATTATTGTTTAAAAATTAATAAAAAATAATTTAAAATTTTTATAACATCAGCTAAAAATTTATTATAAATCTTAAGTCAATCAATAAAATATAATTTATTATAAATAAAGATTATGACATGTTATTAAGATTTTAATAATTTAATGTTTGTAATTATTTTTAATATTTTTATAAGGTTTTTAATTGTTATTGTTTCGAAGAAATAAGGGATTGGCTCGATTTCTCTCTCTCTCGTTGGGGCGGAGGAGGGGACGCAGCGTCGTTTGCAGTACAAACGGGGCCTGGGCCAGTTGCTTCGTTTTCACAAATGCGCATTTTAATTATTTGGTATTGTAAAAACTAAAGAAAAATTTAGATTTTATTTAAATTTCTTGAGTATAGCATAGAGAGTTAGAGACGTTCAAAAAAAATTTAAGAGAAGCCAATGACCAACACATGTATTTATGTATTTAAATATAATATAATGTTTAAATTAATGATAATAAATAAAAAATAATTTAGCATAAATATTTTAAAAAGTGTGGTGACAACAGCATAACACTTGGAATTGGTTTTTCTGCTCATCCTTAGGATAAAATTTGGACCATCCATATTTTATTGGGATAGTCCAGATCTTATCTCAAGGATGAGCATAAGGTGCTCATCCTTAAAATGAGAATGGAAATCTATTCCCATAACATCTTGGGTACTACTATTGACCACTAAGTCATGCTCCATCTCATTGCTTACAACCTTTACCATTTAGATTTTGTATTCATATTTACTTTTCATTTACTAGTTAATATTCTACTTAGTTTTCTAGCTAGAATTATTTGCACCAATTATTTAAAAATCAAACTGAATCAGACAGTTATATTAGCCAAACCGTCAATCAGTCTAGCTAACGACTTGATCAAGTTGGAAAAATCGTTTGAGGAGCTAGATTAGATCAAGCCACTTTGGATCATCAATCAAATCAAAAATTGAGAGTAAATTGAGGAATTGAATCCAGTTTTTAAAAATCAAATTGTTAAAAAAAATACCCTTTTCCTTTTTATTTTTTTATCAAGTTTTTTTAGAAAATAATTAATTTTTTTAATCATTTAATATTATGTTATATCATGTAACTTATTAAGTCATGATAAATTTAAAATATTTAGTTTTATTTTTAAGTCAAGTGGTAATTTTATATTTAGATTATTATATACATATAAAAATGTTTTAATTTAATAATTATGTCACCAATTCAATCATTAATTTAACCGATTGAATTATATGAATTATGAGTTATTAACCTTTTCAATTTAATATTCGGTTGGATTCTAAAAATATTAATTTACACATTAATTTGTTTCCCACATCCCCATATGAGCCGCTCCCTCATCCCGAAACACATTGCCCTTTATTCTCTCTTCGATAGCTGAGGAAGTTACTTGAAATAATTCAGAGATAAGTTAAGATTTCATTTAAAGAAAGTTATTCTTGTTTTGCTTAGAATTATTTTGTCTAGGTCTGGGGGTATACTAATCCATTTTTTGTATACACTCTCTAATCCTTCAGTAACATGTAATTTCTACGGTCCTTCATAATAAATACTCCCTCCGGTCCCATTTAAGTCCAATTCTAGAAGGTGTATTTGGTCCCATTTATAAGTCACGGTGCGTCTTTTTAGGTAATATTTGAGAGGTATTTCCAAAATTACCCTTCATGAGAGAGAAAAAGTAACAGGACATTACTTTTTAGATTTGTTATATAGGGGCATGTTTGAAATTTTACTTACTTTTATTCCTTGTACTTTTATTGTATTGGTATTGATGAGGTTGGTAGAAATGACTTATAAATAGGACCGGAGGGAGTATTGACTTCTAGAGATCCTTCAATATAACTTGCTCGTTTTATAATCTCCGTCCAGTGAACGATTCTGAACAAGTAAAAAACCGTCCTTCTCCATTTTCTCCTCCCAAATCGACAGCACAACAGGTGTTCAGAGAAGTCCGTTGCCTCCATTAATTCAAGTAAGCTTCTTTTCGTGTTTGTCGCTACAGTGGCTGAGCTCCATTAATATGCAGTTTCCGGATCTCTTCACTCTTGTTTTTCATTTTTTTCCTGTTAACCAAGAAAAATATCTCATGTCTTGTCTTCCATCGGTGATCCGGCCATATCGTCAGCCACTTTAAGTTCTGATTTTGATCGATTTCATTTTCTTGATATCGTCAGCTCAATTCTGTTGTTTAATTTTGCCTAATTTTTCGAAGCGGACCTTCCCTGGGATCGATCATGGTCTGATTCTTCTGGGCATTATGAATTGGCCGTACGTGCATCTTTTGCGTAAACCTGATTATTTATGATGCCAAGATTAACACACACATTCATACAAAATTTTGCAATTCATAATGGCTCATATGACATATATTCTATGCACTGAAAAGCAGTAAATTAATTTTTAATGGAAGATTTAATTTACGCAAATTATGGTTGGATAAGATTTGGGATTTCTTGGTTAATTTGGACATATATTTCTATCTCTCTCTTTCATGTGTACACTCCATTCAGACTGAGTTTTGCAAGAGTCCAGGCTTTAATTCTTTTCTAAGCGTGGTTGTCTTTGTCAGTACTCACCTTACTGTGGTACAAATTTGATTGCATGTTTCATTTCCATGCCATGTTTTCTCTGTGCTCTGAGTTTTTCACCGTTATTAATGGTGATGCGATGCAGGATGTCAGAATTACCCTTCAGACCAAGAGAGAAGCTTATTGAGAAGCAAAAATATTTCCAGGGTATCCATAAATACACACACCTGAAAGGACCAAATGATAAGATCACATCTGTGGCAATACCACTTGCCTTGGCAGCTTCTTCAATCTTCCTGATTGTGAGTTATCTCTGTTTGAAATCGTAGTTCATCGCCTGGTCTTCATAGTTCTTTTGTCAAATTAAATCCAGCTCATCTTGGAAGTTAGAAATATATCTTGCTTATATATATTGTTATGTGTCATGATACGCTTTCTGTTTATTCAGGGAAGAGGGATCTATAATATGTCCCATGGAATAGGGAAGAAAGAATGACGTGGCAGTTCTTTTGAGCGAGATGAAACCTACTCGGATCGGTTTTGTATGTTTGTTTCCATTAATAAATTTGCTCAGTAGTTGCAAAACTTTATGGTCGCTGGTGGAAGTTGAAGTTGAGAGCTTCAAGGAAATTTGTTATTTCCTCCAATTTGCTTTGATGTATGCAATTTATTTTAAAAATTACTCTGTTTTGAAGGAAATTCTAGGTGTCCATGGTCACTTGCAAAACTGTGGTTAGACATTATCACAAATTCAAATCTCAGATAGGACAATTTCTCTTGGTTACCATATACCAGCATGCAGAGAGTCAACTGAGATTTGTGATCAAACTTGGTGGCATATATATTATTGGCCACGGATTCCATTGCTGTTTTTTTTATTTTTTTCCCTCTCACAAGTTACCAAAAGGAAGTCGCACGGACAGGAGAGGGAAAGAAGAGAATCAAGAGGGATAAAGAGGAAGGAACAAAAGAGAAAAAAAAGTTTTAAAAATTGAACCAATCATTTAATCTGTTCAAAGGTTAATAATCAAAATTATAGTCAAATTATGGTTAAACTAGTTATCAATAAAGTATTTTATTAAATCAGTTATGACACTAGTTTAACGGTTCAACTAGTTAGAATGATTCATTTTCAATAGTATATTGTTGGCTTTTGAATTAGACAAAAATGAGATTGCTTGAAAAGACTAGAATGTCCATCAATGGAACTAGAGGCAGAGGGCAATTATGTGGTCAACAGCAAACAATGGCAATGACAGACAATGGCTGGAAGTAAGGTACTTAAAATCAAATTAATCATTGAATTGATCAAATTACATTAATTCGAAGATCAATAGTTGACATTTAATTGAATCGTGTTTGACCAAACATAAATAAAACATTTTATTGAACTAATTAATAATTCATCAATTTAACAAGCGGAGTTAACCTAATTTTAATACTATATGTGCTGTTGGGTGCCAATTAATGGTAGCTGAAGTTCAAGGGCCGGAGAAGCGAAAAGAAAAAAGAGACGGCACTTTAATCTTTTAGTAAAGATTGTATTTGTGTTGCTATATTTTATCATAACTTTGAATGTAAAGAGGATTATAAAATTTGAAGCAATGGAGTTAATTTTATAATGTAAGGCCGATCATCACGTAAAAATGCAGCCAAATGCATTCAGCGTTGGTAATATATAATTTACATCATTTCAACAGTGATTAATTCTTGATGAGAGATATGCCTCTCAAAGAGAGGTGCTTGCAAATTGCCGACTGAATTAATATGGACCAAAGACTCTTGAGATACCAGATGAACGAAAAATTGCATTAATTCTCGATCCATCCAAACAAACAGGTCTTTGTGTTTACATGTTGTTACAATAAAGTGGTGGGCTCGACACAAGATATATATACACCATGTTGATGGAACATCACTTCGCCGTTTCATCGACACGTTATTCACGTTGGCAACCTTTTAAAACAGATAAATAACCATTCTGTGTCGTTGCCTCTTGCGAGTTCCCAGGTATTCAATGAACTCCACCTATATATTATATATATATAATATAGAATTACAATAAAATGCAATTATGCTTTTATTAACTTGAAGTGGGATTTTAATAGAATGTGGGTGTCTCGTGTGGTGGAACTGAGAATACAAGTAAGCCTGGCCCTCCTTATAGGCTCAACCTTTA